CTTCTCAGGGTGTGGGGACTGGCACAAGGAAATATTCACTAGCAGGTATTTTTCCTCTGCCAGGATAATTTTTCAAACAGTGCCAAGATGTCTCTGTCTTATCAGGAAGCTTGGGATCCTTTCTTGGAAAAACACTTCAAGAGGCAGTATGGTGAGCATGATGATGATCTGCTGGAGGCCCTGAACAAATTCTGCCCTTTATTCTGATAAATATATCAATATACATACATGTAGTATATGGCGTGTGTGTATATATATACCAATAAACACATATATACTTATATGTCAATAAACACACATACATACCATATACACATGTATAGTATATATTTCATATATACTACATATACATACATATATATCATGATTCAGGTCACTACTATGTAAACATACATGCTGGATACTAGCAATTTAATTAATATGTTTATATACTTATATATAATTTGGTTTAATTTTCAACTCAGCATCATAAAGGTTCCATTATTATTTTACAAATGAGGAAACTGGGGCATTGAAATATTAAAATCATGCCTCTTTCAGTTTGTAATTAATTTATAAATCTCACTCTATTTTATTCTTTATACTCATTTGGTAGAAAATTCAGGTTCCTTGCCTATATAGAGTTTCCATATTTTTCATTTTGCTTATCATATGTGCTTTATTTTATTTTTAAGGGTTTATTTATTTCATTGGAAAGGCAGATTTACAAAGAGAAGAAGAGATAGAAGGATTTTCCATCTGCAGGTTCATTCCCCAAATGGTGCCGATGGCCACAGCTGTGTCAATCCAAAACCAGAAACCAGAAGCTTCTTCCAGGTCTCCAAAATGGGTGTAGGGATCCAAGGACTTGAACTGTCTTCACTGCTTTTTCAGGCCATAAGCAAGGAGCTGGATCAGGACTAGAGCCAGCACCCATATGGGATGCCAGTACAGCAGACATTGGATTTTCCTGCTATATACCATACAAGCCCCCTATCATAGGCTTTTTAAAAATTGTTTTATTTATTTGAAAGGCAGAGAGACAAGAGAGAGGATTTTTGTTCTCTGGTTCATTCCCCAAATTGCAGCAATAACCAGGACTGGGCCAGGCTGAAGAAAGGGGACAGGAAATTCTCCCAGGTTTCCTATGTGAGAACAGTAACTCAAGCTCTTGAGCCATAATCTGCTGCTTTCCCAGGCATGTTAGCAGAGAACTGGATCAAAAATAGATCAACCAGGTCTCAAAGTAGTGCCTAGATGATTCTGCCAGCAGTGGGTCTGCAGGGGTGGTTAAACATGTTATACCACAAATGCTGGCCCCTATCATATGATTTTTTTTTAAGATTTTATTTACTTGTTTTGAAACTCGGAGCAACTCAGCAAGGGAAAGAAGGAGAAAAGGAGAGAGGAGAGGAAGGTTTCAGTAATCCAACTGGTTCCCTCCCACAACTATCAGTGTTGGGCCAGGTAGGAACTGAGTCAGAAGCTTCATCCGGGAGCCTAATGTTTATGCCATCCTCTGCTGCTTTTCTCAGACCATTGACAGAGAGCTGGACTGGGAGTGTTGGAAGTGGAGCAGATAGGACATGAACAGGTGCCCCTACTGGGACGCTAGCTTCATAGATTGTGAGTTAATCCACCATGCCACAATGTCAGCCCCTGTCAAATGCCTTTGGTAGTTTTAATATGATACTCCATTCTTTGTACTTACTATATGTTAATAATTGTATTTAAGGATAGTGTCTTTTTAAATCAAGTCTTTAAGAAACTAAGTTTTTTTTTTTTTCACTTCTCTTGGAAGCCTTTTGAATTTACAATTCCAAATCCAGCTGATTTTGTTTCCCTCTTTGAAGAAATGTTGAGCCTGAAGAGAACAGAGTAACACTGGAGTGAAATGTTAAGGATTCCACCCGACTGGAGAGGAGTCTGAATGTTTGACAGTGCTCACTTCCAAGGATATCTGACCCTGGTAGGCAGTTTTTTTCTGTTTTTATAAGGCAACCATTTTTGAAGAATTGCAATATGAAAATGAATAAAAACTTTGTTAACAGGTAATTCATTAAAAGATATCGAGATAATGAATAAATGTATGGAAGGGGCTCAACTTCAATAGTCATCACAGAAATGCAAATTAAAATTATGACATGCTCATAAAAATGACCGGAGTGGAAAAGAGAGATGGTACCAACAACTAGTGAGAATGTGAAGCTACTGGAATACTTACACTATTAGTGAGAATATGAGTTGCAACACAAGTCTGCCGAAAATGAATATTTATGCAAGCTCAGGCCCTGTGAGTCCATCCCTAATCTTAAACATGTATGTGTTCTCGAGAAACATACACACACACATGCTTGTACCAACTTCACATTCCCACAATGCCCCTTCTGCGAACAATTCACGATACTCACCAAAACTAACATGGGTGAATGTGTTGCAATGTAGATTTACCATATCTATACACATACAACATTCTGCACAATAAGAACAAATAATGTTTCCCTAGATCAACTAATTCCCCATATATCAAATAATATCTGGGAAAATATTTCCCAAATGTGGAAAAATACTTTCCGAATATGGAAAATAAACCAAAATGATTTATTAAAAGTTAGTTCTGCATGATTTCATCCTCACAGATCTCACTAAAAGGTGAAATTTTTCCATGGACCTGGAAGGCCGGACAGTGGTTACTGTTGGAAGAAGGAGGGAAGGGTTCTTACAGAGTTTTGACTGCTTTATAACTTCATGTGCTCACTTGGAGAAATTCATAGGGTCTACACCTTTATGATTTGTGTGTTTTACTTTTTTTCCTTTCTTTACTAATTTATTGCTTAAAAAGTTTTATAACATGTAATACCTACTGTATATTTTAGGTGTAATATTTCAATATATATGCACAACACAAACTGATTGAAGCAGATCTTTATTCTTTGTATTTGAAGCTGCCTATCTGCTCCTCTTTCAGTTCTTTACACAAGATATATTCCATCAGTGTGGAGCAAATGTAGTTAGTAATCCTGTCTAAAAATATGTATAGGTTCTGTCTTGTGTGAGGGTGGTCACTGAACTTTTATTGCTGCATTGTCTGGAAGAAGATAGAGTAAACATAACAAATGATGTAGGTGATAGACAGGGTGCAGTAGACCCAACGAAAGGCAACTGCTACATGTAGAAGACCAAATGCGGGCAATGGATAAGACCCAGAGTTTCTCTGTGTCACACGTTACATGTACCTAATATTTGGTTTCCTCCTGTCTGAAAAAAAAAATCGTGCAAGTTGTATAGTGTGAGTAGATCAGGACCCTGGGCAGTTCAATGAATCATGGAGCAGTTTTCTCTGTTTTTTGGTTGTCACTTTCCTTTGCTTGGATTTAGTGTCCATCTCTAACCCAGAGATCCTGAGACAACTCTGGGTGGATATGTTGCATTTCGTGTATGTTGTGGGATTGAAAGGAGACTAATTTCAAGAAAACATGCAAAAGAAAATGACCATTGGAAAATAAAAGAGCCTGGAGCTTTATGATCATTATCATCCAATAGGCCTTGGCCCATGCAGACTGTGATCCTTCACAACCTGAAATCCCACAAAAGGACTGCGTTATAATTCCTGTGCACACACCTATCCACATTTCATAATCTTGCGGTCTGACTTGGTTGGGACTCCGGGGCAAAGGGACAAATCTCTAATATTTGGATAACCTCTCAGGCCACTCGCTTCACTTTGGAGAAAGATTTGTTTGTTGTACCATTTCCTTTAATCCCTTGGTTCATGGTCCTATGCCAGGTGACATGTCATTGGGACTGAAGCTTCTTAAAAACATATAAATGAATGCATTCATCATGTTTTCATTCTGCTTTTTGCACTTGAGAGCTTTTGCCTTTGAAACCCAGCTCTGAGCTGTTTTTTTTTAAAGATTTATTTATAATTCAAAAGCAGATTTATAGAGATAAAGAGAGGGAGAAAGAAGTAGGGGGAGAGGTGGAAGGGGAGGAAGGGAGAGAGAGAGAGAGAGACATAGAGAGAGAAACCTGCTATCCTCTGGTTCACTCTCCCAGATGTCCACAATGGCTGGAGCTGAGCCAATCTGAAGCCAGGAGCTTCTTCCACATCTCCCACATAGGTGTAGGGGCCAAAAGACTTGAACCATCCTCTACTGCTCTCCCAGACCATAAACAAGGAGCGATGTGCAAAGTGTACGAGCCAGGACACTAATCATCAACCATATGGGATACTGGTACTGCATACAAGGAAGTAACATGTTAGGCCACAACACCAGTCCAGAACCATGAAATCTTAAGAACTCCCAACATTCCTGGATTCTTGGTTCTTCCTTGAATGTCTACCTAGTTGAATGTCTTCATCAGATGTAGAATTTTCAGCTTGCTGAGATGAAATAATTTCTCAAACAGCTTAGAACTTCAAAAAAGGATTTGTGTTCTCTGGAATTCCAGGCCAGTAAGACTCCATGTTGCTTAAATAGTCATTGTCTGCATTCCCTGATTCTTTCATACTGAAGAAAGAAAGAGTTTCTAGTGCCTCTCATCAAATTTAAAGGAAAATTATTTCATTTATGAATTAGTACCTGTCATCTCCCTTTCTTCTTCCCTCTTGTGCCTTTACCTTTGCTTTTTCTCTCTTCCACTCTCCCTCTCTTCCTTTTTCTTTCCCCTGATAAGCCCCTGCATGTTGGAAGTAGATAATTTTCAAAGCCACTCTTCTTTCTGCCTGCTCTCTTTGGCTTCATGAACTTACACCAATGCTGACTCGTGTTCAGACTGAAATTTGTGCTCTAGTCCACATGACCCAGTGTTCCTAAGTCTTTCTGTTATTACAAGCAAGCTAGAAACAGGGGTTTTATTTCAATGTTTTAACTGTTAAGAATTAACTAGAAGTTTTTAAACACTTGAATGAAACAAGAAAACATAAAAATCCTTGAGTGTCTGTTCCAATATGTGGGGGAAAATACATGTTTAAAACAAGACACTGGGTGAGACCATCTGGATGTTGGTCCCCTTGGCAGTTGACATGCTGGTCTCTTCTCAGCTGCAAATTGGAGAGAACATGGAGGAGCAAGGGAGAGGCAAGCAACTCATTGAGTTAGAACAGATTCTCACCTTAGGCATCTCCCCCTCTGTAGGTAGTCTCTGAATAAGAATTAACTAGATGTTTTAAATATCAGTCATATTACAAGGAGATGATCCAGGGAGAAGTAATTGGAGGAATATTTGTTGGTTTTTTTCAGAGAGTGAAACGAGATTTGTTTATATCAGGAAACTCCTGCCATAGCAGCAAGGTAGGTGATGGGGGAGGAAGCACCAACAGAGCAAAAACCCCTAGAGGAACCTTTCACACAGGTTCTATTACACCAGATGTTGCTGGTGTGATTGTGGGAAGCAGTCTAAATCAAATAAATTACTCTATTCATTGAGTAATAATATGATCTGAGAAACATCCAAGGAAGGCATTTATATTACAAATGGATTAAAGGATTCTACATGATAATGAATGCACAAACCTATGTATAATTCTAAATAAATAATTAACAGCTCATCAGCAGAATCATCCGTGTTGTCTGAGGATAATTTGTTAATTTTCCTGCCTCAATAAAACCAAAACAAGGTTAGTTGTTTTTCTTGTTGCCCTCTCTTGTTTTATATTTTTACATGTGCTATGTATTTTATCACAATCTACTACAAAGAAGAGGCATATACTTCCAATATACACAAGTGATATAAATGTGGTACCCTGCATGAATTAAACTAAGGTTTCATTGCTACACCCCCACCTGTGCTGCCAGCTTCTGCTTTTTCCTGTCTTCTCAGATGCCCTGCCTCCTGTGAAGGTTTTGGCAGAGCCTCTGCAGACATTCATAACACTGTGGGCTCTCTTGCAGAGCACAGAAATACACTGCTGAGTCCGTGAGCTGGGAGGCTATGATGGTGAGGCTGATGGTTTTGACTGGTTTCTGTAGATTCAGAGAAAACCGACCCTCTGTCACATTTTGTTCATTGAAAGAGGTCTGACGAATAAGGAAATTCATTCCTCCACTTGGTAATTGTTTGTACCAGAACAAGTAGTAAGTAGTATCGCTGGTTTCATATACACAGTCCAGAGTCACACTCTCCTTCTCCTTCACAGAAAGTGCAGTCTGAGCTTGGGTTACCTTCTGGGCCACACTGGCTCCTGCTGGAAAGAAGAAAAGAAATAGTCTAGCCCCTTATTTGAGGAAAGGACAGATTAAGACTCAGTGTCCCGATTCCATTGCCCATTGTTCCTGTCAGACAGTAATCTACCACCCGCCCATAACCTGTAGAGCAGAGAGGGCAAGCTGTGTTTGTCCCAGCCTTACCAAGGCAGATGGAAGCCATGGCTGTCCTCAAAAGGCTAGCAATCCACATTTTAGTAGCTTTTCCCATGAGCCTTGGCTCTATCTGGATCTTAATTCAGCACCCTGTGCTCCAGAGGTACAAGCAGTGTTGCTGGGCTATGTGATGATCTGCACCACACAGGAAATACGGTCACTGGGTATAGGACGAGTCTGCCTGTGTCATACCACATGCTTCCTGTGTGAGTAGAAGTCACTACTCTGTCTTGAACACCTGTGTGTCTGATTGTAAGACATTGGACTGAAAACGAACTGTGAAAAAGCCAAATCATGATCAACACATTCATTTTTGATGGACAATGTAGGGCTTACAACTCTAGAGTGAAGCTGTAGGATAATACAACTAGACACAAAACTGAGATGAAAAGGAATTACAGAGTTAGAACTCTAACAGGAAGACAGATCTTCTCATCCCAAATTTTGCTCCTGCCATGTCAGTCACAGAACCCAGGAAAAGGAATATTTGACTGTTACTGAATGATTTCATGTCATATCTTGTGAGTTACAAAATCTGGCAGGTGTATTTATTCCACGTTAAGAAACAGCAGGAAAAAAAATATGTGCATACACATTGTGTGTGTAAGCAAAAATAAGCTCAGAAATGTTTACTTAATATTTAACAAAATTTCTGTTAAGCTCAATATGTCATTTGTAAGCCAAACACACAAATTACAGCAGAAATAATGATCATGAAAAACACAAAAATATGCAACTTACAACCACAGCATTATCAAGAACAGTAGAACACTCTAAAATATTAGCAGAGATCTATGTCTATTAATGATTGCCCCTTGAATCATAGCAAATTTTTTGTGGTTATAAAATACCAGGGGTGAGGGTAGGGTTGTGGTGTATTGAGTAAAGTCACCACCTTTGATGCTGGCATCCCATATAGGTGTCAGTTCCTGCCTTAGTTGCTCCATTCCTAATCCAGCTCCCTGCTAATGGCCTGGGAAAACAGCAGAGAATAGCCAAAGTACTTGAGCCCCTTACCACCCATGCGGGAGACCCAGAAGAAGCTTTTGGCTCATGACTTTGGCCAAGAGTGAGCAAACAGATGAGAAATTTCTCCCCCTACCCTTTTCTCTCTGTTTCCCCTCCTTCTTTCTCTGTAACTCTCTCAAAATAAATAAACAAACAAATCTTTTAAAAAACAAGATATCGGGACTTGTGTTTCACAGTTGTAAACATAAGCCTATGATTTGTCTTACATTTACAATAAGAAACAGATTCATCAAAATGCTGTATCTTAGCACCAAGCTGGCCAACGGGTGGCAGCAGCCTGTGGGGCCCTCAGGATGTGGGCTTGGGTAGAGGGAGGGCTAAGGGCCTAGTGCTGGAGGGACATGTGGAGACCTGGGAGCTCACATCTAGGCAGAAGGAATGAACCTGGAGATTTCCCCATGTGCTTAGTTCTGGGTGAGGTGAGGAGAGCGGAAGGGAGAGCCCCCAGGTCAGCATGTTACCCTGGTGTGCTGGTGGACCAAGCCTAGAGAACTTCAATGGGCCTGGATCTTGGATGTGTAGAGGAGGAGGGCACCAGGCCCTCACATGGCCTCCAGTGGGTGGACAGGGCTCATTACCCATGGGGCTTCTGAGGACTGGGCTAGAGAACCTATGAGCTCCCAAGCACAAGGACTGTGGATTCATTAGGGAAAGTGGCAATGAGATATTGGGAAGGGAGGACTGCATGGGACTGTGTTGTAGGTAATAAATGAATCCTGAGGGACTGCAACTGACAAGGCCACTGCTCTTGCAGGTAAGCAAGGGACTGAGAACTGGTGGTTTGGAGGGGAGAGGCCAGAAGATCTGTGTGGGTCAGATTGATACATCAACCCACGTGGGAGACCTGAGCTGGACTTGTCAACATGGAACACTACTGACCACCACATGCCAGCCCACACAAAAGCTAGGGCTGGGGACTAGATCCCAGTACTTGTGGGATCCCAGTGAGTGTGGGAACAGGGGATGGGTAATAAGGCTGGGCCATGACATTAACCAACACACAAGAGAACCAGGTCTGGGGGTAGACTCTGTGGGAGATATGTGGGCCTAACCCTGTGGAATTATAAGTCCCACTGGTTAACTTAAGAGTTGGCCTAGTCTGGACTCTATTCATGTTTCATGCTTGCAATGAAGGAGTCATGACTGGATATGAACTGTACTACTGCAACATTGTGGAGGAATCCAACATGGGGGGAGGACATGGGAAGTTGGGGAAATCCCAAAGCCTATGAAACTGTCATAAAACAAAATTTAAACAAACAAAAAAAAGAGTTGGCCTAGTGATGATGACCATGGAACCCGCCAACACTCATGGTTACTGGAGATGAGAATAGGCTGGACAGGTGCAGGCTGTAGCACCCACATGGACACCCTGAAATACAGTGTGTGGGGCAGTCTGGGCTGCAACATCCACCAGCCCATTCAAAGGCTGGGTCAGAGGGGGCCCAGCTATGCTGGGTAAAGGCTTAACACCCACTGGCTTGTATAAGATCTAGGTCTGGGAGTGGGCTTGGTGGGGGAACTTGGGAAACTCCCTTGGCAGGTCATAGCTTCAACTGGTGAACACATGATTCAGGTCTCAGAAACTCACACTATATGTCATTCCATGATAATTTTCTTAAAGAGAACCTTAGAAATAAAAGCAGCATCAGGCCCTGCATCTGCCCCTGCCAAGAATATAAGACAGATGAAGGACACATAAGGTTCTCAGAACTTTAGAAGCGTAGGATGCACCTCCCTTGTGAGCTGTGTCTCCTGAAGGTTCAACAAGAAACCATCGTTTCTGTTTTTTTGTTTCTTATATGTGGGGTTATTTTATCCATTTGAGATCCCAGTGAACAAGAGTACAAGTACATCCCACCCTCTTATAAACAGTAACCCGAGTTCTTTGAGTGCTGAGTTGGACCATAGCAGAAGGGATAAGGATATATATTCACAATAATAGAAACAATAATGTTAGAGATCATAGTTCTCGTCAGGCTGGAATCCAAAGCCTTCCCTTGTCAGATCCTCAGATACAGAATCTGGTCATTATTTTGGGCTTATGTTAAGGAGCTGGTGGGATAATAAGATACATGAAAAGATGTGTCAGCAGGTGTAAGCAAGTTAGACCAGGGACATAGCCCTGGCTAACTGGGATATTTTGAAAGTGCAGTGCAATTGACGTAGAAAGCATCGCTTCAGTATTTGCTCTTGTTATAGAACTGACTTGAACAGCATCATTTCTGGAGCAACCGCAGAGCATGAAGAACTCAAGGGAAGAGGGGGGATGAACACCCCAGTAATTGGAGATGGAATTGCTGCAGCTAAAGTCAAGCATACAATCCTGATTCCAGGAGTTAAAAGATTCAAGGTCACACATAGCCTGTGAAATTTTCCCCCCTCTGGGGAATTTTGTAAACACTTTGTGAAATATTTCAGCACAGATCAACTGAGCATATACCAAAGTTGGCATTACTGCTTAAGAATATTTGTCCATTATAGAAGAGACAGAGGTACTAAAAAGAGAAGTCTTGCTAAAAATCACAGCTTTAATTTCCCTCGACTCTGATTCAGCCACAATTCCTCTCTGGGGAGTCATCCAAGAACTCTATGGCTCCTGGGCTCTGTTGCATCAAAGTTGGAAGCCTCCAGGATAGGACGCTAGCAAGGGAAGACAGCTCCTATCAGGACTGCACACAGTCAAGCCTCACCTGCACCCTCAGGGTTTGTGTTCAGCTCCCCCTGCAACTACTCTCACTGTGTCTGCAGAGCACAGAAGTACATGGCTGAGTCTGACATTTTCACAGTGGTTTTCCTCAGGTGGAAGGAACTCTGACTCTTGACATGACTGGCCAGGAAGCCTTTGCTGCTCACCTCCTGGGTTTCAGATGAGCTTTTCAGGAGGAGCTCAAGCCCTCGGTGTTGATACTGGATGTACCAGTAAAGGAACGATGTATAGCTGGTCTGATAAGTGCAGTTCAAGGTTAGTTCTGTGCCTTCCAGGAGGGTGACCAGGCCTTCTGTCTGGGTCACGGAGTCTCCACTGGTTCCTCCTAATTAAAAAAGAAAAGGCTTTGTTATATTGGTGATGTAGAAGGGACTGTCTGCAGCTCCAAAGGGGTAAAAGTTCATGCTAAGATATCTTAGACTTGAAGGCTACTCACTGAGGATCAACAGAATCACAAGTCCTGAGCAGGAAGCTGGCAGCATGACCGATGAGAAGCCACAGAACATTTTGTTCACAGACACACAAAAGCAGAGAGGAGTCTTCCTCTAGTTGCTTGGTCTTGGGAGAAACGTCCACAGAATTTTGGTTTAGGTGTTAAGGAAGACAAGTTTTCTACAAGATCATGCCACAGGGTGTGAGAGGGGTGTGGCCAGAATGCAACAGGACTTTGTGTCCAATCAACACCTGAAGGAGTAGCACCCTCTTGTGTCTGCTTCTGTACTTGCAGTCTGCTCTTCCTCTGGTATTTGCCTGGGACTGGAACTTAGGGCATAGATAAAGGGAAATGCAGTGAGGGGTGGAGCTCCAGGAAGGCAGCACTGAACACTGCAGAGCTCACAGGATGCCTGGAGCTGAGACAGTGAATATTTCCTCCATGATCTCTTGAAAGTACAAGGCATGCTACTTCTTTAAATAGCCTCAGTCCCAACATCTAAGGTTTGTTCTTACTTGGTGTCTTTTTTTTTTTTTTGATCCCCTAGGGTATGATGAGAACACAAAAAACCATGTTCTGAAATATCTTTGGCGTAGTCTCCACTGGTCTCCTGGAGCCCAAGACCCCTGCTTAAAACAACCTTTTCTGCCATATCGTTTCTTGAGTAACTCCTATTAGTCAAGAAACAGCATATAAAAACAAAAATGCCCACTCATGTCTTCAGGCTGAGCCCCACAAAGCTTTGCATGTTGTCTATCACTGTCCATTCCATTTCATAGGATACACTTAGTGCCATTTCTCAAGCTATCCTTGATGCCCCAGACACTTAATCTTGTAAGAATCAGTAGTTCATTTCCCAAAGCATGCAGGCCCCTAGTTCAAAGGGGATGCTCAAAACACATCTAAAAAAAAAAAAAAACTATTGAATAAGGATGAATATAGCGCTTTAGAGGATAAAGCCACCACCTGTGACACAAGCATCCAGTGTGTGTGTCTGTTTGAGTCCTGGTTGCTCAACTTTCAGTCCAGTGTTCCAGTAACATACCTGGGAAAGAGCAAAGGTTAACCCAAATACTTGGGGCCCTGAGCCCATTTGGAGACCTTGAAGAAGCTCCTGATTTGACTGACACAGCCTCTGCTGTTGTGGACATTTAGGGCATGAACCAGTAGATGAGTAGATGAAAGATTCTGTGTGTGTGTGTGTGTGTGTGTGTGTGTGTGTGTGTGTGTGTGTCCCACACCCCTCTCTGTAATTCTGTCTTTCAAATCAATAAATAAATATTTTTAAAAGGAATTGGTGAATAACCGAATGAATACATGTGTCTGGTGAGCAAAACTACAATTTCATGAGGTCCTGGCCAGGCGAGAGTGTGTGTCTTAGGCCATAGGAAGACTGGCTTCTTCCAGGAGCAGACTGAGGACCTGGGTAACAAGTGCATTTAGTGTTTTTAAGAATTGAGTAAGGTGCACATTTTCCTGTGAGGGGCTACTCTCATGGATGCTTTTAAATATTAGGATGTATCACATGAAAATAAAATTAGATATAAACTTCTTAGGCTTATAGATTTTATATAATTATCAACTCAAATAAATACATAAGCCAAACAGAATTAAAGAATTACTGAGGGATGATTTTTTTCTGAAACTAAAGATTTAATTTATTAGAAGAAAAGCTATGGATGTGTAATTCAATAACTGACTTCATAAATATGATTTGGAGCTTGATGTACTATTGATTAAGTGATTATGATTAGCAATTACTAGTGTTTGTGGGAGAATCTTTTCTATTCAAGAATACTCATATAAGTCTTTGTGTAATTTTATTAATATTTAACAAAGCCCAGAAAATTCATTGCAGGAAAAATATATTTTATGTAGGTTTTGTTACATTTATGCTTTCTTAATTGAATGTTTATACTTCCAATCAATTAATGTGACCAACACATTCTCTTCCAGTGGAAAGATAGTAGGGACTGTGGTAATGAACATTCCTGGGAGTTAATCCTACACGGCCATACTCAAAATCATAACTAAATTCTTTTAAAAAGTTTACCCACTTGAACAGCCAAGACATCTTCATCTCAACAGTGCCATTATTCCATTTGCTCTTAATTTGGTTTAAATGACATTAAAAACACCAGAAGTGAGAGTGATATACTGTTATAATCATCTAGATTATTAGAAACAGACTTTATTAATTTTCATCTCCACACAGAAAGCAGCACTTAAAAATGCTCACAAATTCTTGTATCTCAGGATTGGCAAGCATATTTGATTTCACCGTTTTATTTGAAAGGCAACAAGACAGAAAGAGATCTCTCATTTACTGATTCACTTCTCAAATGTCCACAACACCTGGGACGAGGCCAGGCTGAAGTCAGGAGCCTGGAATTTCATCCTAGCCTTCCATGTGCGGTCCCAGGGAACCCCATACTTGAATGATCATCTGTTTGTTGCTTTTCAGGGTGCACATTATCAAGAATGAAGAATCAGAAGTGGATCTGAAACTCAAGCACAATCACTCCAGTATGGAAAGTGGGGCTCCCTGGTATGGAAAGTGGGGTGCCAAATGTCCATCCGAATAAATGTTGAAGCATTGAATTACAGTCTTTACTGCAACTACTCAACTCCACTGTTGTCAATGTGTAAGTGACAACAGTCACAGTGGCTGTTCTTCAGTTATACTTTTGATACAATAAATATGTGGCAGTTTTGACATTTGGGTTGTGGTTTTCTGATGCTTGCTAAGCCCTCACAATTTTCTATATGCAACTGAAGATCAATGGACTGAAACCCGAGAAATGCAGGCTTATCTTATTGGTTTCTTCCCTATGACATTATCATAGCTTTTTGAAGGGGCTTATAAATAAAGCAGCTGTATTAAATAAGTGGATGGACAGAAAGAAGAAAGAGGGTGGCTTGATGACCTTAGGGTCCAAGACACTTTGGTCCTTAAAGAGCTCAAATAATGACCTGAGCCATTTAGGGATGCACAGAGCAATAGCAAAGATGGCTTTTAATCAAATAATGAAAGGAGGGAGGTCAAATCTGGACATTTGGACAGAAGTTTGTGATGCTAAACATTCCAAGCTTCCTTCAGCTCCTGACTCCCAACATACCGCATGAAGTGCACAAGATGAGAAGTTATTCAGTTTCTCTATCCTTTGAGATGAGAAAAAAGTTGAGAAAAAATAAAAAGAAAATAATCTAAAACCACTCTGAGGAAATTGTACAGGAGAAATGAAGTGTTTTAAGTTAGACCCGAATTAGAGAGGGAAAGAGCACATTGTGAATGAAACTGGAGAGGTGGTAAGAGTCTCCATTATATAAAGTTCTGTATGAAATATGAAGACATGGGTCTGGCACCATGGCCTAGCTGCTAAAGTTCTTGCCTTGCATGCACAAAGAGCCCATATGAGCACTGGTTCTAATCCCAGTGGCTCCACTTCCCATCCAGCTCCCTACTTGTGGCCTGGGAAAGCAGTTGAGGACAGCCCAAAGCCTTGGGACCCTGCACCCACGTGAGGGACCTGGAGGAAGTTCCTGGCTCCTGGCTTCGGATCAGCACAGCACCGGCTGTTGCATTCACTTGGGGAGTGAATCACCAGACGGAAGATTTTCCTCTCTGTCTCTCCTTCTCTCTCTGTATATCTGACTTTGCAATAAAAATTAATAAATCTTGAAAAAATAAAAAGAAATATGAAGACAAGTGTCCATCCTAAGAGCAAATGCGGATCCAGGTGATATGCAGTGTCAAAATTATTCACTCTTACAGGATCACTGTTCCTACGGTCAGAAGAGTGCTTTCAATGAGAGCATGTCTATTTTTCTGGGGGCAGAAGGACAAAGAAATAGGATGGATTTTAACATTTTGCACAAGTTGTGATGTCTTCTGGAAGACTTGTGGAGTAGGTAACTTTCTTAGAACTAGGCATTAGATTGGGCATAATAGATTCAAAAATGAATAACTGTGAGCCAGAAAATCATATGAGTCCTAATATACCTTACACTTAATAAGTATTTCTTTCTGTTTCTTTCTAAAAGAATGCCATTGAAATATAGGTGGAAGTATACACAAAGAAATATGTTTTTTCCCCACCATCCTTACAGATGGAGAGGAGTGGGGACAGTGGACAACACTCTTTTGAATACAATGTAAGCAGATGATGTTGGGTCATGTTTCTGGAAACTGAGCTGGTCAGCATGGATCCATTTGCCCTTCAACTTACTACTTTTTGCCTAGAAGGTGAATAAAGTGGAAAGATCTCTGGGACATCTTAAAAATACAAAGACAACCATGATGCCCTAAGGATGAGAAACAATAAGGAAAAAGGAACCTGGATTCCTCACAATATGATAAAACTACACTATCAGCCCTGTTTTATTTATGAACAAGAAACACTGACTCCACCTTGTTGAAAAAAAAAATCGCTTGAATTTTCAGTAATACGCTCAGCCCATCTCTGACTAATGCATGTGGTGTTCATTTAAATATAAATCCATCCCTTCATTAGACACTAAATCAGCCAAAATTGAACATAATTGTCTAGATGATTCTGATATGAGTGATAATGTCAGATCAATGTGTGGCTTTCATGAAACATTGTCCCCCACAGTCAGTTTCTGCCCTCCTCCACCTTCTTCACTGAGCACACACAGATATAAACACTCTGATTTTATCCACAAACACATTTTCAACAAGTCAAAATTCTGTCAAGCAAACCATAGCCAGCATTTGTTTATCTTAGTAGGAACATGAATAAACAGATGGAAAGGTGTTATGTGTTTGATTATAGAAGTTTCTGCTTTCAAAACACAGAAATGCACTATGCAGTTGAGAATATATATCTCTTACTTGGATGGGGAAAATTACCACTTTCTTGTAAGGTTTCATTTTACTAGTAGGAAAACTAAAAAATCACATAAGTAGAACACAGCAGGATCACATTCTGATCTTTGTTTTCCTGAAGATTCACATCTGAGTCTCGCTACACAACGATTTCACTCTTTAGCTGTACAGTGACACATTTGGTCAAGGCCCCTTTTAATCTAAATCTTGATGAGTCCACTGTTTCCCACATAGGATTTAGAAGCTTGTAAAGAATTATTTCATGCATTTCAAAGACCCACCTGGACCCTGCGGAAACATAGAAAGGAAAGATAAGACCCTCTAACACTGAGAAATCCCTTGTCGTCCTCCACAAGTGTCCAGGGCTTACTTTTTGTCTTAATGCATTTATAGTAGAGGAATCTTTTGGACTTATTGATCTGAATTCTTCATTTCCAGTGAGAAGATTGGAGGCTGTTATATCATTAGATTCCCACTCCAAATTCCGTGCTTTTTTCCCTAGTCCAAGATGCTGAAAACACAAATCACAAGTTGGGAAAGTTCTCATTTCATGTCTCCAGCTTTTTGTAGACTCTCGTCCCTGAAAGATAGACTCCAGCACTGTCAGAGTTTCCAAGAAGCTGCTTCAGAAGGGTTTGTGCAGGGGTGGCAGGTGCCTTTTGAGTGCTGTGCGTCAGTGGCACAGGAGTAAGTAGCAGTGTCTGCAGGTTGGGCATCTGTGATGGACAGGGTGCTTCTTTTGTTGGAGGTGTCGAGTGTGGCTCTGACTCTTCCGCTGGATTTCTCTCTCTCATTTGAGCGGATTAGAATCAGCAGGACAGGGCCTGTGCCCGAAGCTTGTCTATACCATTGTAAATTGGTTATAGTTGTTTTGTAGCTGCAGTTTATGGTGGTATTTTCACCTTCCTGGATGCTCAGAGCCTGAAGCTTTTCTTCTTCTTGTTGGCTGCTCACCCCTAGGCAGAAACACAGACAAGAGGTCATGAGTCAATCACTACATTTTAGAATTACAATTCAATATTAGTAAGGAGCCTTAACCCTTTAATCATGTGGATTTTGAAACTAAAACTCCCTGTTTCTGTCATCATGATCCCCAACTCACTGATCAGCAGAAGACAGAAAATCATCAAAGTCTCTCCCAGGAGTTTCTCCATGTTTCTTCTTTTTTGGATCTCAGAGCACTCAACTCTGAGGACTGAACTAGAGGCAGGCCCCTCAGTCAGACATTCTCTTTACTGAAGGTATATAAGGTTCTTTCTCTCTGAGAGTCTCAGATGTCTCACCTACCCAGTCAGATAACCTCAACCTTTGGTTTGAAGACACACACACACACACACACACACACACACACACACACACACACACACACACACAAACACAGGATTTCAAAATAAGGGGAGCCTGAGTAGAGGAAAACACTGCTATCTACTGGTGACAGCACTGCACTGCTGGTAGCACATGCTCAGCAATGGTGAAGCACGTATGGAACTAACTCCAAAGAAATCACTATTCCATCCCCTGTGTTCCCTGAACTCTTGCTCCAGCTTACAGGGAAAACTGCTATAAGTTAATTCTATTAAGAACTCATAGAAAATATTGGTGTCTAGTTTTGGCAGAATACCTCTGCTAGCTTTCTTAAGGTGATTACTATCTGTGACAATGAATCCATCAGCTTAATCAATTAGTTAATTAATTTGTCTTTTTGCTTTACCTTTATGCTGGGTTGAGATTATCTGCAAACATTTGTATTGACTGGCAACAGAAATCTAATGTGACTGGATTAAATAAGAAAAGGAAGAAGTTAATGAGTTCTAGGTTTGCATCAAAATCTCAAAGGTCAGAAACTTGAACTCCATGATAAAAAGCTACCAAGTCAGTAGCAGTATGGGGAATCACTGCGGAGAGCTTTTCCTGAGTATTGCATTGGCTCCCCTTCTGAGCTCCATAAGCTGCAGGAGCCACCTGCAAGGCTGCTGGTGCCTGAAGACGTGTGCAGCTGCAACTCCACTGCTTGTCTTCAGTGCAACTATCATCTCCGTTGCAGCTATTACCATTCTCTTTCCTCTCTTACATGTGGAATATATCCCTGATCACTGGAACCAGAATCATGTGCTCACAACTATATGTACAAAAGATGAGATATGAGTTTCTTTGTTTTCTAAGGTTGCCACAGCAAATGACACAGATAAGATAACTTGGGCATCAAAAACTCTTTTTCTCATAATTCTGAGTGTTAAGGAGCTAAAGCCAAGGAGTTAGCAAACTTGGTTTTGTTTTAAATGTCTTTCTTTGGTTTGCAGGTGAATGCTTTGCATTGCATCATCATATGATCATCCTTATATCTGTATTGTCTGTATCCTAATTTTCTCTTTTAGTAAGGACATCAGCCATAGTGGAGTGGGCTTCATTCAAACAGTCACAGTGAATACACCATTTGCTTTTATACATTGGATGACCACAGCTTCCTGAAACAACCAGTAAAGTCAAACTAACAGAGGCAGTCTCAGATGCTCATGAAAAATGTTTGCTACTTTTTATACTTATTCTCCTATGAACCTCTTTGACATATTATTCTCTAAAGAACCTATGTGCATCCTTATTGAGTTCATATTGTAAATTTTATACAATGTTAGAAGGGTAGGTTAAAAATCAGAGAGAACATCCATGGTAAACACTAATGTTACATAGTGACTCAAATAGTACAATAAGAGAATCACAGCATAGTCTTCTAGAATGTGGGGACATAATTTTCCCATTTTTCCCCAAAAATCTACTCTCCTTTTGAAAAATAGTTTCTGGTGCTCACTTTGGCAGCACATATACTAAAATTGAAAAATAGTTTCTGGCTGCCTGATTAACCAGGATGAGTTCTGAATGCCTAGTTTAGAAAAAAACATGTGATCCAGTAATCTGAACTTTGATCTTGAACTGAGTGTTGTCTGGCCTAACTTAGCTATGATGTTGGTCACACCTAGGAATAACATCAAGTGAAAATGGAATACATGTAAGAGATTCCACTGAGCAGGCTCAGAAGGCAGAGATCAGTTGTTTGAGTAGATGAATCAGAGTCATTTGTCATCAACTTTATTTTGTGTTGATTTCTCTCCTTTGGAAATTGCCTATAGCCTCCTAGGGAGTTCTTTACAATCAAATTGCAGATAAAGAAACATCAAGTCTATACTTCATTTGGATTTGCTCCTTATACTAATGCCACACAAAATTAGAAGTACAATCCCACCAAAGAACAATAATGAAAGAAAATCCCTCCAATGAGCAAAATATCAAGTGGGCCATTGGAAGTCAACATTATGAAGAGTGAAAGAGGGCCATAAGTTCTGATCCAATTTGATTTTTTAGTGGGGGATTGATAGCTTGACTAGATGGGAGGAACTGAATTGGAAAATGGATGACAAGAAAATCTTGGGTTCTTAAGGAATGGTCAGAGACTAAGAAGATAAAGACCAGGGTGGTGGAAACTCTTAATAAAGGACAAAGTGATGTAGCCTGTGGATTTGTCAACATTGTTTCCCAGCTATTCCAATGCTTGCTCAATTATACCATGGAAAAAGTGTCCTTTGTTGGCAGAGAGGAAAGCCATGCATGAGCTCATAGGCATGGCTTTTCTCTTGTTAAGCTTGATTTAGAGCTAACGTTACTACTGAATGCTTCACCGTTAACCACAGAGATGAACACTGAGCCCGTAAGATGGCATCATTCCCCAGGGTAACTGACAACATACCTGGAGACATAGGCTGCTTACTCAGGCCTATTCCATTGTGAGTATGGATGAAGTTTACCCTCACTGAATCAGAAACACATACTTTCTCCTGCTTGCTTGTAACACTTCCATGGGCACCATATTAAGAATTTTCTTGTACTATTTTTCTTATGAAGAACTGTTTGCATAACAAAATATTCCAACAGCAGCCACACATCCATGGTTCATCTAATCTTACTACAAGCCAATTTAGCCACAAGTGACTGTCCTGTTGAAATGTGAAGTGCATAATGATTCACTTATCAAACTAGAAGACAACACCCCAGAAAATATAGGATTCTGTTTTACCAGATACAATATATTCTACTTATTAGAGAGCATTGTATGGCAGTGTCTCCTCCATTGTTAGAGTGTTTGGGATGAGGCATCAAACAAGCTGTCCTAAGATTGGATTGTCCAATTCTTAAAACCAGTAAATCACTAGCAAAATTTTCACTTCCTATACATGTTATTTTTACTTATGTTGCTTTGAAGGCACAAGCATGGGAAACTCCTTTTTTTCCAAGGGCCATTTGATATTTATAGCATCATTTATGAGTCATAAAATTATCAGCTTTGGAATTAATCTGGTAGGAGCTGGCTTTGTGATGTCTATAAAGCTGTCACTTACACACAGGCATTCTATATGGGCACCAGTTCTTTCCCAGCTACCCTACTTCTGATCCAGCTCCTTGCTGTTAATGACCTAGGAAAAGCACCAGATGTGCTTGGTTCTCTGCCACCATGTGGGAGATATAAAAGAAGTTCCTAGGTTGTGATTTTGCCTTAGACCAGCACCAGATTATGACCATCTGGGGAGTAAACCAGTGGATGGAAGATCTCTCTCTCTCTCTTTCTTTGTCTCTCTCTCTCTCTCCAATTCTCTCACTTCATAACCCTTTAAGTCAATCTCTATAAAAGGATAAATATATCTGTATAAAAATTAACCATCTATAGATTGATTGAATTTTGAGTCCCCAGTTTGGGGCCTTTGGCAGAGCCAGACAAATGATTCTGTGGGCCTTGTACAGTCCATGGGATATTCCAAATCCTATAAGGAGGAATGGCTTCATTAAAATGGTTTCACGAAACTTCCATGGGCACATTATGGGGACTCCTAGGCTACTTCTCCAGCAAACACAAGAAGTCATCTATCTTGTACAAAAAGAAGTTACTCTACTAACTAAAGTGATTGACACCAATTACCTATGGGAAAGTAAGTGACCACTAGAGAGCAAGTATAAAGAACATGTCTGGGGCCTGGCACCATGGCCTAGCGGTTAAAGTCCTCACCTTGAACACACCAGGATCCCATATGGATGCCATTCATGTCCCAGTGGCCCTGCTTCCCATCCAGCTCCCTGCTTGTGGCCTGGGAAAGAAGTCGAGGATGGCCCAAAGCCTTGGGACCCTGCACCTGCGTGGGAGACCTAGAAGAAGTTCCTAGCTCCTGGCTTTGGATCAGCGCAGCACTGGCCATTTCATTCATTTGGGGAGTGAATCATCGGATGAAAGATCCTCCTCTCTGTCTCTCTTCCTCTCTGTATATCTGGCTTTCCAATAAATAAATAAAATAAATCTTAAAAAAAAAGAACATGTCTGAAATTCAGGGGCTGTTTTATGGGATTTTCTTGGTGCTTCTTTCCCAAGCAGTGAAGTTTAACAGAACAACCTAGCACCAAATATAAAACAGGGTTACTGAATACTCATTTGAGACTGACAACACCACCATGTAGAGAACCCCACAATCTACTGAGGTTATGGCTAAGAGCTGGGCAAATATAAAACAGAAGTCAAGGAAGAAAGCTGTCTGTGCCAGGTGCAGCCTCATGACCAAGTCTGGAAACAAGAATTCAATAGCTTTCTACATATTTTTTTTTCCTTTTTAAAAAAGTATACATTTTACCTATCTGAAAGGCAGACAATGAAAGAGGGAAGGACAGAGAGAGAGAAAGACAGACCTTCCACTTGCTGATTTATTCTCCAATGGCTGAAACAGCCAAGGTTGGGCCGGGTCTAAGCCACCTGCTATAAACTCTAACTGGGTTTCCCACATGGCTAAAATAACTCATCCATTATCTGGTGCCTCCCAGGCATATTAACAAAGGAGCTGGGTCAGAAACAGAGCAGGCAGGACTGGAACCAGCATTCTGATACAGGATGCTGGAGTTGCAAACAGAGGCTTAATAAGTTGTACCAAAACATCAGCTCTTCTACATTTTTCTTTGTTCATTATAAGTATGTGTGCCTTCATAAATGCTGCTATCTTTTCTCTCCTAATCGCAATTACAAATTGTTGGACACTGATTTTCACAACCTAGTCTGTATATAACTGCCTAAGTTCAGTGACAATGTCTATGTGGTTACTACAGTTAGAGATTCACGTGGCGACTTTGGATCTATGGGTCTCCTGGTCATAAGGAAAGCGTGAAAACTTAAATTGTTCAAAACAAAGTTTCAGGCTCTTCGTGGAGGCACAGAGTAATTCTACTGTTCTTTGCAGGTTCAAATACATGTGA